TTTCCCAAACCCCCCCTTTTTTTTTTTTTTTTTTTTTGTCTTTTGTCTTTTTCCGTGTCCGGCAACGGATCGCAACCCTCAGTGTTGCCCCCGTACTGGACCGGGGACCGGCAACGGGATCGCAACCCTCGGTGTTGCCCCCGCGCCTCGCTCAGCCAGTGAGCGGGAACCGGTCCGTATGTGGGATCAGAACCCTCGGGCGGGAGCGCCGCCGCGCTTCCAAGCAGCACACTATCCAGTGCGCCACCGGGCCAGCCCGTAAACCCTACCTATTTTAAGTTTAAATTTCTGCTCATAAATATTTTAAAAACCAAAAAAACACTGCTTTTCAAGGTTAGATTGAAGTCTGAGTTTCTTTAAACAAAAAGCAAATCCCTAGATGGGAAAAAAAAATTGATAACCCTGATATACTTTCTCACAATAGCATTTCCAACTCCATCATTTAAACACACTCCAAGTACCATTCTCTTCATTGTAATATACAGATCTTCTGGCTTTCAACCAGGGAGCCAGAGAAACTCACTGCAGTGGGAGGGGGACTCAGATACAAGAAGGACATCCAATTCTATGCAGTTGGGTTTGTTTTCTGGGGTCTCTAATTATCAAGTGATAAGAATCAACCATGTGATAATTGCCCCAAAAAGTAAGACATAAAGTTACATTGGCTTCTGACAGGTAACCAAGTATATAAAACAGAAAAGAAAATTAATTGTTAACCTTCTTGATAGTGTTTTAATGCAAATGCTTAAGAAAGAGATCTTTCATTTGTATCAATTATGTATGGGTAGAAATTAATTTGTAACTCTGGTCATCTGGTTGGCTCCATACTTAACAGCATCAGGGACCTTTTGCAATACCAGAAAAATGTTCTTGCGTCTTCAGCATAGAATAGCATTAGGACTGGATAGTTTTGCTCCTTTTTGGTTCAAAAAGGAAATGGTATGAAACAGCCCAGGGTAGAAAATAATTATTGAAGTTTTAGATTAGTTAAATTTTCTTATACATCTTTGGTTTTGCCTATCCCTTATCAGGATGGTATATTTTAGTACACAGTCCTCGGATGGATTGCGGCGTCTCCGGCTTCTGAGTAAAACTAGAGAAGTTAAATTCCATTTTCAGTTTGGCTAGATGCCTCCTCCAGTGTTTGTATCTGAGCTTTCACGAGAACGCCCCGGCCCCTTGCAGACCAGCTCTGAGCATTTTCTTGCCCCTCAGTTCCTTGCTGTTGGTTTGCTTATTTTTCTGTGGCTTGCATTTTAAACTTTTTTTGAACATACCTAATATGTATTTTTTATCATTGTTTATGTTTTCTATAATTATATTTCTGCAAAGGTAGGATAACAAAACCATAAATGAAAAGTGGAAAGAACAAAGAAATCCATTTTCAGATTATAAAAAAAGTATTTTGGGGTCTCTCCTCATCTCTTTTTGCCTTAGTATTAATGGGTAAATATCAGATAAGTATATCTAAATTAATTGAAGTAAAAAATGTTTTCTATTTATTCATGGAGAAGTGATTAATAGTAAAGATGTTATACCTAGAAGTAGAACATCGGCTAAGCTATCTTAAGGAGACTTATGCTAGTATTATTCCAAAGAAAACGTTGTATTTGGAAAAACTTTATGTATCTGTTTTGGGACATAGTCAAGAAGAATTTTAACTTCCCCTAAAACAGAGTTAGATATTTTGCTTTTAGTTATAGATATTAATGGCTTAAGATAATGTAGTTATGTCTTTCTCCTAAAACATGTTGGATTACTTCTCAAAATATTTAATTTGTAATTTCTAATGGCAAAATTACAGGATCTTTTCTTAGAAAAGAGGAGGTAGTTGTGCTATATTTTTTAATTGTTTGCTATAAATGTATATAAATTTATGTAGTTAAAATTTCATATATGGTCCAATACAAATTTGTTTACATTTCCAATTTTTAGTGCAGGCTTTGTATTTAATTTTGTCATGGATTCTGAAGGATATCTCTAAAAATTTTTGACACAATGCTTTTTGTTTGTGTCTTCACTATGGCAATTGTTATGAGAAAATGAATTAAGCAGTTACTTTGCCAGACTTAAATAAAAACTCAGCTTTTTACATCTTTTGTTATTTGAACCTTTGAATCAACATAGAATTTTTACTATAGTCACCAGATTAAGATTATCTGAAATTTTTAAATAGACATTTTCTTTATAGTACTTTCCTATAAATTCTTCATTTCCTTAAAAGCAGGGAGTCTTTTTAAGTAATAAATTAGCATTTCTAAACCTAAGGTCACTAGTAGTGCTATTTTTTTCTGCAATAGCTATAAGAAAGAGAATGGTGATGCTATAACTCTGTGGCAATAGAATATTTTCAATTTAATCACAGTTACGCATCATGACCTTTTGACCTTATATTGAATTTCTTTGTGAGATGTGGTCAAATTTCAGACAGCTAATTCTAACCCTATGAAGTAAAGGTAAAGGTAGGATCCAGGGTTTCCACAAATACAAAGGTTTTTCTTTAAAAAAAAAAAAAAAGAATTTTTGTTTGTTTGCCTTTAAATAATGTGGTAAATGGTTTCAAGTCTCAGAAAATGCTTTTCATCAAGAAACTTCCCCTTGAAACTGAGTCCACCAAAGGTGGGAAAGGGAGAGAGGGTGGGGAGTTATTGAAAAATTAGTAAAGGCTCACAAAAAATGCGTTACATTGTATAATGATAAATATAGTAATAAAAAAATTTAGGATTAAAATAAAATTCCCCTTGAAACATTTTGCCTGATTTTTTTTTCTCCTCTCCCCCCAAAATGTGTAACTTAATGCTGGCTTCTAATTTTGTGAAATTCTTTTGATATTACTTAATTTTATCTAATTTTAAAATTAAATGTTACTTTCTGTTAAATTATTCCATTTAGAACCTAAGTTAATTGAATTATTTTTTAGTTTGAAAATCTGGTTATGTTTTTAGATACAAAATGAAATTAATTCTGTAAAGGTGTACAAGAACTTGTTTTTGCTAATAAACCCTGTTAGGATATCCCAAATGCATCAGTACAAGAGAAACATAATACTTTATAAAGTGGGAGGAACATGTACCTTCATAAAGACTTCTTTGGGCTATCCAGTTATTTCAGGAAAATGTGCTAGAATATTAGAACCCTAGTATTTAATGGTGCTAATCTGCATAGTCTGTTGCTATAATACAGAGCTAAATATCAGCAGAACTTGTTACTGTTGTTTGGGTTGCTTTTGTATACCAGCTTCAAAATATGTTTTGACACTTTATTATGTTCTGAATCAAGCTTCAGATGTGTATAATGAAGGATGAAGTCTTTATCAGACTCTAGTGTATAAATAATGAAGAAGAGCAGTTTGGAAATGGTCTCTCTATAAGAGAATGGTTTCTGAAGAGATTCAAGTTATGATCAGGCACAAAGCAAACGCCACTGGAGGGGTAAACAAAACCAAGCGTCCTCTCTAAAGGCACAGGCTGCTGCTGCAGCTCCCCCCGCCGCCTCCTTTTCTCTTTTCATCTTTTCTGTTTTTCATTCATCATGTCATTTTTTTAATGTTTGCTTTCTTAGTTTATAGGTTGAACCTTTTAAGAAAGTCTGGCACCTCTGATTCACTTTCCCTCACAGACCCTGTAATTTTTGGCTGTATTTTTATGTTTTTCAGATTCAAGTCAATCTGAAAGTCCCAGCCAGCCAAGTGATGCTGACATTAAGGACCAGCCAGAAAATGGTAAGTTTAACTTGGGACTCTAGCTGCAGTATTCGGAGTCCACAGCAGCCAGCAGCCAGCCAAGTACAAAGATTTTGAGGTCTGCGTATGGGCAGCCCGTAGTGGGAACAACTTTGAGGACTCAAGGAGAAAACTCAAGTGGATTTCTTTTACGAGGGCAACTTGTTTTTTGTCTGGATTACTCTAGCAGCCCCAACACTCCCCACCCCCAAACACTATCAGGCTTCTTATGAGAACCTTAATTTCCAAGAAAGTTGATTATCCAACTTAACTATGAGAGGTGGAGTTGACTTACCAAATCACATTCTTTTAAGGTGTAAGAAAACATGGCCTTTTCATTTCATTTTAGTTCCTTTTAAAGTGGCAATGCCCCATGATGATCTTCTCTAATGATTTAAGATCATTCATTGACAAGTAATTTTGAGGACTTTTAGGAGCTCAGCCCTTTTCTAATTGCTTTAAGAAAACAATCTCTGCCTTTGAAGGATTTTTCTACTTTAACTTGTCTAAAATAAAGCAGCGAGTGTACAGGACAGTATCAAATTCTTTAATTGCATAAATATATAAATTTTTGTTGTAGAAGCTTTATTAAAATAAAATGCATATGTTATATATGAATATAATAGTACCTGGTAAAACACTAAATTTGTGGCATGCACTCCCAGTATGAAAAAGATTGTCAAGGGTTGGAATTTTATATTGAGTAAAACCATCAGTTTCAATAAAAACAGAGAAGTGAACTGGCAGTCCTTATCATACACTAAACATTGTGTTAGGTTCTTTCACAGATCTCATCTCATAAAATTCCAAAATGTTCTTTGGTGGTAGAACTGAAGGCTGTAATGGGAGTGCTTTACCTTAACGGGCCTGTTGGTAGGGGAGAAATGCCATTATGATGTCAGAGCTGTATTAAACTTCTGACTCTACTATTTCATACCTCTGTAATATTGAATAGGTTTTTTTAACTTCTCAGGGTATTGACTTATCTCTCTAAAATAAGTTAATAATATTACCTACTCGTTGAAAAGTTAAATAAGATGATATGTATAACACACTATAGTGTCTTTCGTAGAGTTTATAATAAAAAAAAGTTGGCTGTGGTTCAACATTACTCTTACTATTTTTCTTATCAGTATAATCCTGCCATACTTTGTCTTTCACCTATTTTGAAGGACCTAATTCCTTGGGTCTGTCTTCCTTTTGCTGTTCTGTACATGTTTCCTTTTTGTTCTCCATCTGATCTGTTGGAAAAGATAGGTAAACTGCGTTATGCTGTTATTGAGGGATGAGGGATTGAGCTTATCACATTAGATATCCTGTCATTAACTTTTCAGAATTTGTTTTATTTCTTATGCTTGGGAAATTCTTTATTACATTTCTGGACTCTAGCATTAAATGGATTCTATCTGGCTATACTGCTTCTCTTCCTGGTATTTCGGGGATATTTTCTTTACCAAAGTTGTCTTGTTAAAGTAGACAGTTAAAAAAAGAGAGACCTCTGAAGTTTTGTTTTTAGTGTCATAAACAGCTACATCTTATTTTTTGTTGACATTTTAAAGAGTGATATTTATAGACTAGTTTCATTTTTTTATTTTCCACTTGACTTATAGGTGATGGCTTGCATGTTTCATTTTTCTCATATAATGTATATAATCTCCCTGAAGATGTGTTCAGAGGTATTCATCTCATTTTGCAGATGAGAAGAGAAATTTGTAGGCTGTCGGGATGTGCAGTTCACGTATTTAGGTCTGGCTGCCCCTCTAGCAGGTCTGCGATTCATCTGTCTTCGTAAAATGGCCGACAAGCTGTTCACATGCAAATATAAATTGAGAGCATGAGAGGCCTGGCATGCCTTTCTGGAACTGCCTGCAATACCAATATTGTGCATTTCCTGTTCCAAAAAGCAACCAGGACTGAGCGTGGGTTATTCGGCCAAAGGCCTGAAGATACTAGCCAACTTCACTTTTAACCCCAAATTATTTGTTGCCACCTCAAGGATGCATGGTACCATTTGGGGGAAATCATGTGAGTTCAAACAAAGAAAGTATTCATATCTGGGAGATAAAGTAATAAATTCCTACCTTTCAAATTTGTATGTATTTCAAAGAAAAAGTAGAAGCAGCTTTATCTTAGACAACCCCAATGAAGAAACATCAGTCTACTCAGTTTCCACTTTCTGCCTTTTGTCAATCTCAGATGGAGTTATTGGAGGAAAAATGATTTTATCTCTCCTTTAAAGACATGTAATCTCTAAAGGGAATAAATAAAGATTTCAGGGCTAGGGACTGGCACGTATTAGATAACTTTCTACTCTCTGAGGTTGCTTTGATCAGGGGATTGTTCCCTCTTTTTCGTTACCCCAGGTTATGAAGATGAGTCCCTGAAAGGTTTTTTGTTTGTTCTATTTTTGTTTTGGAAGAAGGCACTCTCGTAGGTGTGTAGACAAAGCTCTAAGAAGTTTTAGAATCTTGCTGGATGAAGAAGTGACGGACTCTACTTTTCAAATAAAGTGAGAACTCGTTACTCCTTCCATATATAGGAATGAGTTCCCATGTTATTTGAAAGAGTAATAGTAATATATATATATATATATGAAAGAAAATAATATTCTTTTTATCCTAGCTCTTGAGAAAGGTAACGGGAATCGAATGGTATTTCCCTAGTAAACCATGGAGAATGAATAGACAAATGGTAACATGCCGTTTCATCCAGACCGTAAACTGGGCCATGCAACTTTACCTAAAGTGGATGCAGCTGTTTCTTCCCTATCCAACTAGTCTGTTTTTTCCTGTGGAATTTTTGCTTTCTTTTCTTGTATTCCCTTAAGACTCAACTGTAAAAGAAAACAAATCTTTGTCCAACTTAGAGCATTAGATGGGAATTTTGAAGGAATTATCTGAAGCCCGGAGATAAAATGTCAGAATCTCTGAAACTCAAAATTGACATAATATAATGGTTAAAAACTCTGCCTCTGAAGTCAAACAGACCTGAGTTCAAATTAAGTAATAGCTGGGTGACTGAGTAAGCTACCATCACAGTCTCAGTTTTCTTGTTGGTAAAGTAGAAATTCCTTTTTTTTTTTTTTTTTTTTTTTTTTTTTTTTTT